CACCACCATTTTGCGTGAGGCTTTCTTTCCTCCAGGACGTGTTCTGGCTCCTTTGTTGAAATTATTTGTCCCTATATATGTTGGCTTTATTTCTTGGCTCTCAATTCTGTTCCATCGTTCTGTGCGTCTTGTTTTTCTGACAGTACCAAACTGTTTTGATTATTGTGCCTTTGTAGTATAACTTGAAGTCAGGGAGTGTGATACTTCAAAATGGATCAAAGACCAAAATATAAGACCTGAAGCAATAAATTACATAGAAGAAAGCATAGGTACTAAAGGTATGGACTTGGTCTTAGAAAGGATTCTATTAATTTGACCCCAAAGGGCAAGGGAATTAAAAGCAAACATAAATGATGAGACTCTGTCAAACTAAAAAACTTCTGCACAGCAAAAGAAACAATCAACAAAAAAAGGTAACCAACCGAACAGGAGGAGATACCTGCAAACAGCAGCTCTGACCAGGGGGCTAACATGCAACCGAGGGTCCGGCAGAGGCCACACTTGACTGAGTGTGGATGAAGGGCACGTGACTGTCTCCCACGGGACGGACAGCAATCTGAACATTTCACCTAAGATGTCATATGGCGGGCTTGCGTGCGATATCGTTATGTTACACAACGGCGTGCTTACGCTTTTGTAATAAAAGATTTTATAATAAAAAGGAGCATTATTTCTGCTGGATCCTGTATATATAAGGGACTCATACAACTCAACACCAGAAAACCCCAAACAATCCAGTTAAAAACTGGGCAGAGAACCTCAACAGACACCTCTCCCAAGAGGACATACAAATGGCCAGCAGATCCAGGAACAGGTGCTCCACTGCACTAGCTACTAGGGAAACGCCAGCCGGAACCCCAGTGAGATGCCGCCTCCCCCCGGGAGGGCGGCCGTCACCAGCGAGGCGGGTCCTGCCAAGTGCGGGGAGGTTCTGCAGGGAAGGGAACCCTCGCTCGCTGCGGGCGGGATGCGAGCGGGGGCCGCCACGGCGGGAACCTGTGGAGGCTCCTCAAACATTAGGACTAGAGTCACCGTATGGCCCAGCAGCCCCTCTTCCGGGCCTCCGCCTTCCAAAACTGGAAACATGTATTCGCAAAGACGCACGCACCCCTCCGTTCGTGCAGCGCTATTCACGGCGGCCGGGACGTGGAGACAGCCCACTGCCCTTCGGTAGGCGGTTAGGTGAAGACGGTGTGGGGCCCACACGCCGAACGGAGCACCGCTCAGCCGTGGGAAGAGAGGAGACGCTGACATTCGTGACAACATGGATGGACCTTGCGAGTATCACGCTAAGGCAGACAGAAAAGTCAATAACCATATGATTTCCCTCATATGTGGGACATAAAACTAAAAGCAACAAACAAACAAAGACTCATAGACACGGAAAAGAGCATGGCAGCCACCAGAGGGAAGGGGCGGGGGTGGTAAAGGGGGCCAAACACAGGGTGACGGGAGACTGGACTCTGGGCGGTGAACGCACAACGCAGTGTGCAGACGACGTGTCACAGGATGGCACACTTGACCCCTATGAGATCTTACCAACCACTGCCACCACATACATTTACTAAAAAATAACCACGCCACCGGAGACCGGAGCATGTCATCTTGGGAAGTCCGCGAGCGCGACAGCGGACAGGGGTCCGCAGTGACTGAGCTCTGGCTTCCCAGTTAAAGCTGAATCCCAGCGAGAGCTCTCGCCTTGGACGGCACGCGTGTTAGCCAGGGCTGCTCCTGTGGAGCACGGGCTCAGACGCTGGCCGTGCAGAAGGACGGGCTGAGGACTCCCTGGGCGCGGCCCGCACTGCACTTCAGGGCCGCCTGGCGCTTCCCCCGCCGATGCCCCATGCCCTCCCCAGATACCTGACGTGATCGCTCTGTCGTTTTACATGTTGTCTTATTGACAACACTCTCAGGCCATTAAAACTATGAATGTAGGGGAAGAAGAAGAGCAGACGGAGTCCAAGACGGTCCCCGCTAAGGTGCAGGTGTGTTGCACTTACGGGATGCGTGTGTCCAGCCCGCCTTCCGCCCTCGCCCTCCACCCACCTGCGGGCCGGGCCAGGCACGGGCGCGGGCGCAGGGCCGGCAGGAGGAAGGGTCGGGCTGCTGGAGGCGCAGGCAGGAGCCTCTGCCCCGCCACCCCCCCAACCTGAACTGTCTCCTGCTTTCACTGCATCCAAAGGGACATGGCTCGAAATGGGTCGTAGGCCAACCCCAGGGCACATGGAGGAGAAGCTGAATCCCCCCAAGGAGCAAACAAGGGGAGGCCAGGAGGCAAAGAGCGGGCAGGGGAGGATTCTGGAAGGTGCTCCACAGCCTGGGGTGGACAGCCCCTCGGGGATTGGGACCCTGGCTGGCACCCGGGGGAGGCGGCTGCTGCGGGGGAGGACCGGCTGACCACGCTGGGAGTGGGGCCGGGCACTTCCAGCCGCTGGATCGTGGGAGTGGGCGAGCTCCTGGGCGGTGCCGCCGGCCGGGCGAGGGCGGCGTTTCCCACCGCAGCAGCTGGAGGCAGTGTGAGCCCCGTGCTCGGCTCTCGCATAGAGTTGCTCTCGACAAAAATAAGATCATGCTGTATGCGTAATTTTGACTTTTGCTCTTTTTCACATAATATTGGATTATAAATAGTATTTTCCCACGTCATAAGGTAAGATTTGAAAATGTTATTTATAAAATATCACATTAAATTCCGTTGACTGAAAACTTAGCACAACTAATTTAATCAATTTTCTTACTCTTGGACATTCACATTGTCTCTCTTTTGGGGGGACTAAAGCTTGATCGCTCCTCCATGGAAACTATCCGGACGATGCAGAGGGCTTTCGGGGACAATGCAGGGAGTGCAGCACAAAGGCAAGTGTGGCACAAACGCTTCCAAGACGGTCGAGGGTCTGTTGAAAGTGCTCCACGTTCTGGAAGGCCTGCGACAAGCAGGACCCCTGAGACTGCGGAACGTGTCCGGGCGGCGATCAGCGAAGGTCGGCGACTGACAGTGCGAGAACTAGAGGCTGATCTGGGGATTCCAGAAACTACCGTGCCCCAGATTTTGACGCAGGATCTTGGCCTGAAACGTGTGGCGGCCAAATTTGTTCCGCGGCTTCTGCTGCCACAGCAGAAGGGACATCGTGCTGCAGTTGCTAATGACTTGATTCAAACCACTCCCAATGAACCAGATTTCTTCACGGTCATTACTTTGAGGGGACCGAGGTGTCACTGTCCCATGTACAATGTTTCTTGTATCTTCTCCGATAAATGTCTACTATTCACAGTACATGGCCGGGCCCTTTCTGGACAGGTCCTGTGTATCTGCTCCTGCACCGCTGATCGTTTGCTTTGGGCACATTCCTAGAAGGAGCTTGGGCGTCAGTGGATCTGCCTTTGCCCATCTGCCCCCTGGGGAGGTGGAACCGACCCCTCCCCACGCACAGCGCGAGGACACACCCTTAGCCCTGTTGGTTATGACACTGCGCATCACCGTTGGTTAAAAAATCAACACCGACGTGAAAGGACGATAGCATACTGTTTGCTATGGCCATTTCTTGCATCGTCTGAGAGAGAACTCTCTCCATGTTTACGGCCACCCTGCGAACGGTTCGTGGCTGCCTTTGTCATCTTAGTACGGCAAGGCACCGGCCTCCGCCTCGCTGGCCGGGCGCGCTCCCCACGCAGCCGCCACGGACTTCGCCGTCGGCCCCGCCGTGGCGGCCTTCCCCGATCTGCCACTGCAGTGCTCAGCTTGCTTCAGTCGGCTTTCGAAAAACACATTTTTAGTGTTTATGGTAGAAAATATGTGGATATTGCATTAAAAAAATATATTTCATTGTTTTCATGATTAGAAAGGTCATCCCTCTGGAGCCTTATATCTATTTATTTGTTAACATTTTACTGTAATTAATATGACATTTTTAAACTTATTTTTCATGGCACAGTTAATTTTGCTGGAAATAGTCACGGGCTGGGTTTCCTCCCTTCCCTCGCCATTTGCAAGGGCGGCCTCACCGGGGGCCCTGAGGCGACCCCCGCCGCTCCGCAGGTGGGCTGCGGCCGCGGCCGCCCGGGCTCCTGGTCGGTCCGCAGTGATGGTTCTTAGTCCGCTTCTTCGCCTGCTGGACCACAGAAGTTTTAGTAGCGCACCTGAGGGAACTGAGGCCCAGAACAACCCTACCGTTCGCAGACACCGCCCCGCGATGACTCCTCCAGGACAGCGCTGTCGCCCAGCGGGCTGGTCACGGGCGGTCCCAGCACGTCAGCGTCCGAGCACCACTCCTACCGACGGCCCACACTTACGTCCCACCTCACACTGAAATCAGCTCGTGACGGTGGCTCATTCCAATGAGAATGGGGAATGCCCAGGAATAAGTGTTCAGCATGCGAGCGGGGAAAACTTCAGCGCTTGACTGAGGGCACGGCGGACGCACTGCAGCCAGGGAGGCACACGTCATGCTCTCCGACGGGACGCCCGGCCTGGGTGACCCATGTTAACTATTACACCGACTCATTTGTAAGTTTAATGTCATTTCAGTAGACGTCCCGACAGTCCTTTTTGGGGGGTGTGGGGCTCAAGAAAATGATACTAGTTTTCATTTGTAAAACTAAATAGGTCATTTTATACGTTAAAGGAGAAGGAAAGAATATGCTTAAGCACATGTGGATCTCTGCCGGGCCAGTCCCTGGGACGACACTGGCACCTGTGGCCGCCGTTTTGCTTGGTGGAGGATGCGGGGGGGAGGGGGGCGCGAGACTTTTTATTGTACTTTGTTTTATCCCTTGAAAGTGTTTGAATGTATCATCATTCCAAAGGCAAAAACAAAAAAGAGAACAAAAAATGGCTAAGAATACCCAGTAACAATGAAAAAAGGAGCACTTTGAGAGGTTTTCTCTATCAAACAGGGAAACATGAAACCAATAATTTAAAAAGTGAGGTCGGCCTCCAGCCTCACAACTGGACGGATCTCTGGAGCAGCGCGGAGAGCCTGGCCCCCCTCCCCTCTGCCCCGCACCGTGCACGGGGGCAGGCGTGGCCGCCGACAGGCGGCTGGAGCGCAGGGCGGAGCCGACCCTCGGGGCAGGTCTCCGGCCCAGGGGGTGACCAGCAGAAACAGCGCAGGGGGCGAAGAAGCGCTCCGGCCTGAGAGCTCCCCGGAAGCCTCCTCTCCTTCTGAAGCGGATGTCCAGCTCGGGCCGCTCCTGCCCCTTCCAGTGTCCCCACCAAAGGGGAGCTGAGTGTGGGGCCGTTACCGAGGGGGAGGCCGCAGGAGGGCCGATGGCCTTGCCCGTGTGACTGGGGACTCTGGAGGTGAGAGTAGAGCTGGTGGCGTCAGTGACTCGAGCCTGTGGCAAGGCCCTCCCAGGAACCGGGCCGCCTGACCGGACTCCAGGAGGTGTGACAGGCCATCCAGCCTTGAGCCCTAGACGGTGTCTGAGCCACGGGGCGCCAGGGAGGGAGGTCTGTGGCCAGATGAGGGCCTGTCGGTCAACAGATAAATACGGGGCTGCAGCTCTTCCCTGGCGGGGCTTTTCCCAAACCCCTGACTCCCCGTCTCCTCCCTGCAGAAAGGTCGGCTGCCCGGGAGACGTTGAGGCCGTTACTGAGGGTCCGTGACCCGCCGTCTTCCCGGAGCGCTGGCACCCGAATAAAGCGCCTGTAAAGGTTCGGTCCCTCTCTGCTTATTGGTTCTGGGGGTGACAGGCAACACGCACGCTGACTTTTCCGGGTCCGCGTGTGACCCTACGTAAGCCGTGTGTAAGGGCCGCCCGCACTTGCTATGCGGCTCCTCTGAACCAGGCGCAGCCCCCGGTGCTCGGTGTGTCGCCTCATCACGTCTTGGCAGCCGCCCCCGAAGGCTGTCACGGCCTCCTTCCAGCGGACCCGTCGCCGGCAGCAGCGCCTGCTGGGGGTCCTGCGGCCGGGCCTAGTGGCGGGTGCCGGCGTGTACCCAGTCATTCCCTCTCCACACGGTCCTCGTGGCGGTGCATCTTCACGTGCAGGCTGGGACGGGAGGGGTGAGATGCCGAACAGCCAGGCCCCTGCTGTCCCAACCCCACGCTGCCACTCGGCCCTCTGCGTCCCGGCTGCCACACAGAGTCGGTGAGCGAGGGGGATGGCACGTCCACTGCGGCGACTTCCAACTGCATAGGCACGACTCACTGAAAGCAAACGCTCCAGGACCAGCCCTCGAGTTGGTTTCCGCTGTGACCGCCCCAAACCCGACTCCAGGGCCACCCCCGCCCCTCCCGACGGTCAGGGTCGCGCGGAGTCAGCGAGTTCTGGCCGAAACCCCAGGACACGGTTTTTGAGGAGCACTAAGCAACCAGAAGCTAGAAGTGTCGAGTCAGGTGACTTTCAGGCGTCCCTCTTATGGTTCTTAAAAACAAAAAACAGAACCCCCCCGAGACCACACTCTGGCTCCCTGGGGTGAGCTGGAGGGCCGAGAAGCGACCCCAGGTGCCTGCCGTCAGAGCCGAGGGTGCCGAGGTCGAACCAGCTCTCTTCCTTTACATGCGCCGCCGGCCCCGTGTAATGGTGGCCGGGGCTGGGGCTCTGAGCCACCTCCTGGAGAAACGCCGGCCTCCGGCTGCACAGAACGGACGCACGGGCAGGGAGTGGCGAGGAGCCGCCTGCAGCGCTTCCGCGACAGACCCAGGCCCTGACTCTGCGATCTCCCTCCAGCTCCCAGCTCATCCGTCCCCAGGTCACATCCGGGAGACCCACCGGCTGGCTCCCCCTCCCTCCCCCTCCGCCTGTGCTCCGAAGACAGCAGCCAGGACACTGCCCACACCCCAGCCCCGGGGGAGGCTGGCTGCCCCGGAGCCGAGCCCCCGGAGCAGCGCGCGGCGAGGGCCGCCCCGTGCGGCCGGCCCAGCCTGAGCAAACCTGTCCGCCTTGGCTTTTCTTTCCCCTCCTGTGCTAGGGGTCGTGGAGCGGTGGGTGGCTGGGCTGTCGGGGTCCCTGAAGCGGAGCTCGGGGTGAAGGGCGCTATGAGGAGGTCTTGGGCGTCACTGCCAGAGGTAATTTTTAACCGGCCATTCGCAGCTTCGCCCCTGACCCGTGTGGCCTTGGGCAAGCGGTGTCAACTCCGATACAGGAGGAAGCCAGCGAACCCCTAGGCTGTGTCGGGGATCAGCTGCGGTCCCGGAAACGGGCCACACGGGGCCGGGCACACGGGGCTGTTTCAGGAACTGGGCTCACTGCTCTCCTGGCTAGGAACACCGCTCTGGTCAATGAACATGCCCGGCCTGACCCTCTGCTCCCTCCCGAGGGGGCAAGTGCCCTGAGTCCACGTGGCCGGGGAAGCTGGGACGGGCCGAGAGACGGAGGCCGAGCCTGGTGCCCGTCAGAGACACGGCGCCGCGTGACTGAATTCGTGTTTGCGGTGCTCGACTGTGTTGAAGAAGGCGTTGTGAATTTTACAGTGAGGGGGGAGGACCCAGTATTTCTAAAACCCTGCAAGAGTCAGTCGATACGCAGTTGTCCCGCACCCATACCCTCAAATTGCCCTGGAAGGGTTCACGCAAGACAGAACCTGCCCGAGGCGGGGGCGCCACCACGTGGCGGCACCAAGGTGCCACCAAGGCGACCTGGAAGGAAGGAGGGCAACCCTCAAAAACGCCAGTGTCACACAGGACGAAGGACGCTGCGGGCACGGTCCGGGTTAGAGCCGACGCTGGGCCCGCAGCTTGCCAGGCGCCGAGTGTGCGGAGTGTCAGCCCCGCGCGTGACCTCAGCGCCAGAACGAGCGTTCGGCCAAACCACAAGTGTCAAAACGTAGGGGCTCCCGATTCGGGTTGAATGTGTTCCCCGAAGCTGAGCGCTTTCCCATCAATCTGTTTTGCCAAAATTCAATGCAATAAAGGGTTTCTAACGTGGAGAGGGAGCGGGCAATGAGATGTAATAGGTAACCTGGGACCGGGCCCTGTGCCGCGGGGCAAGCCGCAGGGGACGCTGTCGGGTCAGCGGACACGAGCGGAAGGCGGACAGGCCAGGGGGAAGTCCGCACGCGCCCAGGCGCCCAGGGAGAGGGGGCGGCACAGAGAAGGGGCGAACAAGCAAGCAGGGGGCCCAGCGTCACCGTGAGGTGAGTCCGGGTAAAAGAGACACATCTGTTCTTCACGCAATTCTTACGGCACCCACGTTTGAAATCCTTTTCAAACAAGTTAAAGAATTAGACTACTGTTAACTATTATGTATGTATATTGTAAAACTCTGGGGACATGTTTAGAAATAGGACTCTCCCTTGTAGACCAGAACGGCTTCACCCCCTCCCCGCCCCCAAGCCAGGCCCAGCAACACGTTGAAATAACAGGGTCCTCAACGAGTAAGCGTCGGTTTCAGTTTTTACAAAGAGAAACCGTTCCCAGGGCCCTTACTAACCACACAGACCGACCTACAGGTTTAAAGTTAGTATTAGGATAAAGCCGCTGTGACTTTAAGAGCGAAATCAGGAAGTCTGAGCCGTTGCTCCTTCAGGGTACACGCGAACCCTCAGAACGCGCAGACGCTTCACACTGCATGACCGGCAGGCGCCCTGAGCGTTTGCGTGTGCTGAGCACGGGGCCCTGGCTGGACATGGTCCTCAGGCTCATGTCCCACCTTCCACCCTCAACCTTGGCGCATCGAGACCCTCACCTTGTCCCACAGTTTGTTTCATAATTGCTTAGTAATAAAAACAGCTACAAATTCAGCAGCGTTTCTTTAAAGTTCTCTTTGCATCCAAACGGCTGCATCGAAGGAAAATCCATGATGTCAGTTACCCAGTGTGGCTGCTAGTCATGGTCACAGAGTCGTGGAGTCCTGGAGAGAGGAGGCAGGAGAAGCTCAGCGCCGAGACCTAGCCCGGGGTCCCCAAGCCGGGGCGGCCGACTGGGACAGGTCCGCGGCCTGTCAGGACGGCGGCCGCACAGCGGGGGGCGCGCTGAGGGAGCGAGCGGCCAGCGAAGCTTCGCTCACATTAGCTCTCGCCTGAACTACACCTCCTGTCCCACCCCCCACCCCACCCTACCCCCACCGGTCTGTGGAAAGACTGTCTTCCACGAAACTGGTCCCAGGTGCCAAAAAGGCCGGGGACCGCCGCCCTAGCGGCTTTGGGACAAGGGGCCTGAGCGGAGCCAGCCTGGCTGCGCTGTGGGACGCGCGGCCGAGCTGACTCCGGAGGCCTGGCTGCCAGGGGGCCCTCTTCCCTCGGGCGCTGCTCCCAGACCTCCCGCCCAGGCGCACCCGCAGGGGGAGGCCCCTCCCCTGGACCGCGGGCCGTGGCTGCAGAAGCTCGCTGTGTGGGTGGGACAGTCCGGCCTTCCCTCTGGCCAGGCCTGCGAGGGGCCAGGGTGTGCACAGGGCAGGCACAGCCCTCCCCGGCCGGTGGTGGGAGGGAGGGGCCTGCGCTCCGGGAAGGGCAGGGAAAGGGCGGGGCAGGCCCCCAGCAACCTGGTTTGCCTCAGCCTGGCCTCCGGCAGGCAAGGCCCTTGGCAAAGAATTCCCCTCCCGCCTCTCTCTCCCTCTCTGCTCCTGTTTTGTGGCGAGAGAGGGAGGGTTGCAGACACTCTGCTTCTAGACCTGCGATTGGCCTTTTGCCCCCAAATCCTCCTCTCTCTGGACACCAACCTGAAACACAATCACAGAATTCTCCCCGATGCTCCTGCGGTGTTTCCTGCCAGGAAGGTCTGTGACCGAGACTTACCCACCGGGGCCGGATCGCGCCCACGTTCCTGGGCTGTGCTCCCACGCCCCTCTCCAAACCTGCTCGGCCCCCTTTGGCGGCACCTGGCTGGCACGCAGGGGCCGAACACCCGCTCCCCCAGCACAGCACAAGGCCGGGCCCTCTCAGCTCTTTGGTGGGGCACCCCCACCTCGGACGAAAAGGCGGGACCTGAACCAGCCCGTCCGTGCGCGGCAGCCGTGAGCGCGCACAGCGTGGGAGAGAGCAGCCCAGTCGGGAAAGCGCCTCCATCCCTGACGTGAATTTGCACTGATGTCTCATTTCTTCAGTAAAACGTAGGGTCGGTCACGGAAGAACAAGCAGGCGTAGGCCCGAATCGCCACTTTGCCGCTTTCTGCCACAGCCTCTGAGAGTTTCCTCCTCGGCCGACGCGGGGACAGCAGTGGGGCCGGCGGGAGGGTTAAAGCCGGTCTGCCTGCGGCCCGGCCCGCCCAGCGCCTCCCAGCCTCGCGGAGAACGGGTCTCCGCAAAAGCCAAGTCGTGGCTGCGTGCTCTCTGCGAAGGACTTGAGGCCTGACCGCGTTCCCTGCCGTGCAGCGGGCCCTGGGAGGGGCGCCTTGTATGGCCAGAGAAGCAACAAAGGGAAGGATGTTTGTTTCCCTTTTTACTGACTGCGTTGGGGTGAGGGTCCTGAGCGCGGAAGATCGGCCTGGCTTTTTTGGCTGGGCCCTAACTGTGACCGCCTGCATCGTTATAAGAGCGAGGCAGGGGGGGTGTTCAGACAGACCCCCAGCAGAGACCGACCCCCAGAGAAGGCCCGGTGAAGACGGGGCGGGGAATGGGGGCACAGGCGGCGGGAGGCGGGAAGGCCGCTCCCCTGCGGCGTCTGGGAGGAGCGCAGGCCTGCCGACGCCTGCACCCCAGACACGGGCCCCACGACCAAGGGCAGGCCTGGGCGTGCTGTCGGCTGCCCCGAGGCGGCATCTGCTAGGGCGTCCAGGACCCCAAGGCTCTGTCACAGCCCTGGCTGGCAGGTGAGGCTCCCGCGCGTTCTCCCCACAACCTGAGCAGAGGAGAACCTGTGCGGCTGGCGCGCGGCCCGCGGCCCATCCCCCGCCCCCACAGGTGCCTGCAAGCCTGCTGCGCAGCACATACTTTCCTCCCAGACGCTGGGCTAGGTGGGGCGGGGGGCCCTGGACCACACTTGTCCCGGCTCCTCTCTGAGGCCCGGGGTCCTCCCTCAGGCCCCGCGGAGGTTC